CATACACAAATAATAATAATAATAATAATAATAATAATAATAATCAACTTCGACAGTCTTGGCTGCTTGAAAAAACGAGCTGTCAATCAAATGTAATACATTAGGTGCGAACAATCCAATCTTTGTCGTTTTATTGTTATGCAATACGGTGGTTTGGGTACCTCGAGGGGTGTAATGGTTAGCAAGTTTATATTGCTAGAATAATTACGATATAGTAGTGAGTTCGATCCTCACTAGGTGCCCCATACATTCGGTCTTGTGCCGCATCTAAGCTACGCTTGGGGAAATCATTATGCAGTCCGGTGATTATTGTTAAAAATAGCAAGTCTACCTAAATCTCTTTCAAATAATCCTCAGATGCCACAGTTACATGGCAAACTCAATGTCATCTGTATTTTAATAACGTCATCAAGTTCACGTTGCCAAAACCATGTCACATTCATCTTGTGTATAGCGAGACACTTTAGTTGGATCTTTTTCATCCTACACTTCAGGAAAACTTGATGTACTTGAGTCAAAAGAAACACATACTTTTTTGTCTTTTTTGCTGGTGCTGTATCGGTTATCGGAGCGGTTAAATAGAATCAGCGAGACGAGTTCAATTTCCAACCGTGTTTGTTGGGTTCAGTTCGTCCTATTGTCTTTGGAAATATCATCCCCCGCCCCGATCAGATAGGGATCATTAGGCATGGGTGACAGCTAATCGTCCATTCGTCACCTCTCCAGTCTTGACAAAGTTCAAAACCGCCGACGCCGCCTTGTGGGTGATGAATTATTTTCCAGTCTGAAACTTCTTCCCCACGTATGAAACATCCTAAGCCTGTCTCTATTCTATCTCTATTGACCATGGCGAATAGCCTGATGAGTTACATTACTTAATTCCACATGTGTTGACCTTCACGTATAAGACCAGCCATGACACCCACTCAGGAACGAATCATCTTCGTTTCCTCCGTAAGCTATGGAGAAAGAACCGCTACGTTGTGGAACAAACTCCCGAGAGGATGCTTCCTCCGTCACAACAATCTTAACATACTCATGTCTAGGTTTAACCGTTACCTTTCCTACATAACCTGATAATCGGGAATTTTTATCTCTAATCTTACTGCTCGTTTAACAATCTGATTCAGTAACCCTCTACATTGAGTATCTCTCGAGCCTTGTATTGGGTATGCAATTAATTAAAGAAGAATGGTTATGAATTTTAAAAGCATGAATTTTAGGAGGAATATCATGGTAATTTGCAAGGTTTAAAGATTAAAGAACCAGTGAGAACTTCGGAAATAAAGAATTATCAGTATTCTAAACTGATTCATATGAACTCTTTTCCATATCTTGGTTGTTTGAGTCACAAGATTTCGGCCGTTCTAACCTACGGTCTTTTTTCAGATAGCTGTCACATTCACTAAGGTTCTGGAACCTGTGTACGTATTCTTTGAACCAATCGACTGGGTAAATTGTTCTTATACCATCGAACATGCTAAGGGTTAACTTGTAGCAGCATTTTTTCTTGAGATTAAATGACGCCCCTGTTCACCTCAGAGAACCAGAATATATGCACTTTATTGTCTGATCCAGAGATTGAACTCGTAAACAGAGCTAACTGCATGCGAATAAACACTTAGATGCACAAGGTCATTTTCATATAGGACTGTGTATTCACGTGAAATAATGATTCATTGATACGTTTTCTACGGCTATATCTAATATCCCCATTTTAAAGCCAGAAAATATTTTTAAATTATGAAAATTCTTTTGGATGTGGGGGAAAGAATAATGATTTATTGATACAAGTCTTACTAATTAATTGATAGATGAAACAAAAAGAGGCCGCTTCATACCTTTCCCAAGTGTAATTGCGTGTACGTGAATATAACGAACCCAACTGGAATTGAAACTCAGCTCTCCGATTAACAATTCCAAGCCATTATAAATTACACCACCCGTACATCTAAGCTTACAGCAATTGGTATTCCCAAGAGTTCACTCATCTAGGTAGCGAACAGGGTCGTCGTTGCTTAATTTCAATAAGTGTAGGGGAAGCGCTCCCGTAAAATAAAGAGTTTGGTTTAAATTTACGAGTGCGACAGGTCCCGAAGAAAGCCGGATAGTAAAACAGCTGAAAAGATGTTTGTTATAACAACAAAGGTCATCATTTCGATTAAATCAGCGAATAATCATAATAGAAATAGATTTTTTTTTAAATCATTTCACCCCAATGAAGGCAATACCTCGACTAAGACGAAAGGCCTTATAATGTGTGAGAGACTATGAAGAAAAAATTACTATTAGGGTAGGGAAAGTATAGAAGAACCAGAAGATTGACATTATATTTACATTTTCGAAGATCAATGTTTATTAGAAAAGCCGGAAAAGAGTTCCACAAGCGAGAAGTGCGAGAAAAGGATCTTGTTGAGAGGTTTTGATCTTGAGCGGCTAGAATGAATGTCACTGTTTCTTTTTTCATTCCAGAACTCTGAAATCAAGCATTTTTTTTTTGTCATTGCACCTCATGCAAGGTAAAAAAGCCATTAAGACTAAAAGACTAAAAGAAGAAAATCCTATTAAGAAGAGATTATAATAAAAGAACAAGAATTAAGCAGACAGAAGATAAGAATTAACATTGTATTTACATTGTTGATGATCAAAGATAACTGTAGAGTAAGTAGCCGGGAATAAAGCAACCTTGCCATCAATCAAGTACTGCGCTTAAATTCATAAAGTGTATATACCATTGAAGAAATTACTATTTATTTTGAGAATAGAAAAAATTGTGGCACAAGGTCAAAAGTAGGTATATGGCAAAGCCCGTCTTCAATCTGTCTTATAATTAAACTTAGCCACAATTACTTACGCAAATATGTCACAGTATTCCTTACACCAAAGCAGCACATTCTTACTTAGCATTCTTCTGACAATCACCATATTCCCTCAAAGACTATGAAATTTCCATATGTACAATTTTTGATGATGAAAGTTGACTGTGGAGCAAGGAGGCGGGATAAATTCCCATAAGCGAGGCTTGCGAGAGAAAAATCTTTCAACATAGAACTTACGGTTAAATGTAGCTATTCCAACTGTAATATGAAACGACCTTGCCACCAATCAAGTACTGTTCTTAAATTCATAAGGTCTAAGTACCATAAAAGAAATTAATATTTATTTTCAGAATACAGAAATGTGGCACAAGGCCTAAAGGTAGTATATAGGAAACCTGGTCTTCAATCTGTCTCATCTAAAACTTATCTAGCCACAATTACTGACCCGAATATACCACAGTATTCTTTACACCAAGAGAGCACATTTTTAATTACCGTTCTTCTAACAGTTACCATAATGTCTCAAAGTCTCTATGAAATTCCCATATGTACAATTTGTCGGGGACGGATGATAACAATAACAACCGTAGAGGAAAGTTAATCAAAACAATTACTATGAAGGTAACTATAGAAAAGGCAAAGGGAAGCTACATTACAACGGTTGGAAAGAAACTGAGGCTGACACACGGAGAGTAATGACATTGAAGACAATTCTTTGGACTTTATGAAGAATCTTTAAATATATATCAGGAACACCTGAGCTGATGTAGCAGAAATACTCACAGCAAGAACCAATGGTAGACGGTGTACGATAGATTCTGACGATAACAAATGTCTAGCGTCAGTGGGAACAGCATATCAGCAGGCTTATCAATTGATTCAATATAATCTTTCCACTTCAGCGTCAGCGGAAAACTTTAGTCTGTAAAGGTGCAATGTGTCACTCTCCTTCAGGTTAATATCAGCCATGATGATATGAAGGCAAAAAGAGTTCTTTCAGACGATTAAAATTGAGCAGCTTTGTTTCGGGGGCGTTATAATTAACAAACCAATCATTGTCCCAATTAACAGCTGATTGTATGTCATTTTTTTAGCTCAGTTGCTAATGAGACCATATCGTACCGCTCAGATTTACTTGTTTTTGAAGATCACTTATAAACATTGATACTATTTGATAGTCCAAAACAGTTGCATGAAAGACATTATTATTAATATCGCTTTATTTCTTTCTGTTTTTGGTGTGTACACATTTCTTTCCGGGTCCTGAACAGAGACCTAAGGTCAGAAATGACATCATGACATTTTCCATTGAGCAGTTTTGAAAAAAAAATCATACATATATTACATAAATAAAGCTTTTCGTAAGGTGTGGGCTGTATTTGTGAGGATTTTTTTTTGTATTTCTTTAAAGCATGGGCTACCAGAGATTCCTTCAATGAGTCTATTGGAATATTTTCCAATCAATCCGAGGGCTCCAACTACATTTAGAATTGTTGATGTTTTCATGTGCCACATTTCTGAGATTTCCATTTCATTTTTATTTTGAAGATCTTCAATTATTATTATTAATATTATTATTATTATTATTATTATTATTATTATTATTATTATTATTTCCTTTGATTTCTGTTGTACGCACATTATTACTATTTGGGGACTGCAACGGGAAACCTCTGCAACCTTTCCAAAGATTGCAGATCAAATTTATCTCTAAAGAGTCAAAGCCGCCTACACTCTGAGCCAATATAGCATTGCAATTATTATTATTAATAATAAAATTAGTATTAGTATTATTCATAATAATAGCAATATATTTGACAGCAACGCCTCCGATTTTATTATTTTGTCACAATGTCACATGCAGTCAGTTACTTTGAAGAGAATATTTTCACATGTAGAAATATTGTTTGTCTTGTGTTGTCGGATTCAAACATAAAGTAATTGACGTAATTTTTCTGTTAACCATATGAATACACAACAGCGTTTCTAAATTCTTCTAGTTACTAAGAACATTTTGTTTGTTTTTTATAGGTATTTTGTTTCAATAAATTAATTTCTTTTTTTGCCTTGAAAAAGTCCACATTGGACGAAACGCGTTGGCTACTAAAACAACAGTTTTCCTATTGTCTTTTTCCTTAATACATACTAAACGTTTTTTCTGGGACAATTTTTTCTGAGAAATTAGATAGATAGATAGATAGATAGATAGATAGATAGATAGATAGATAGATATGAAAAAGGTCTGATAGATAGATGGATAGATAGATAGATAATGAAAAGAATGAGATAGATAGATAGATAGATAGATAGATAGATAGATAGATAGATAGATACTAACAGATGCAAAATATAATTCGGCCCGTTCAAGAAGAAAATTAAAAAAAAAAGTTATGTTTTCTCATTAGGTTAGATTTAAGAAAGTTAGAAATTTTCAGCACCCAATTCGTGACTTTTTTGCTTACCATTTAGAAAAGAACATATTTCGATTACTATTCTTAGCGTCATTTCTAATCAAACTGTTCTTTCCTCTTCCAGTATTCCATTTTTGCCGACTAATCCAAAATTAAGTGATATTTGGAAAAGTTTGAGGGTTTTAAAGGGAAATAATCGATTCTTTCTACTTGAATCAATCAAGTTTCTTTTTGTTTGTTTGTTTGATCGCCTGCCCGACCGCCATTAATTGCCTCGTATAAATGTCTATACCTCACCAGACACATATCATGTAACTGAACTTGGAACTTTCATCATGCAATAATACGTTCCTTCTCCGCCATATTTTCCGTTCTGTTGTATTTTCCGAAGAGAAGATCATAGCGAAGAGTTAAGTGAAAAGACGTCTGGTCATTATGTAAGCACTCATCTTAGACTTCTTTTCAAAATACGACGAAGCTGTTAGGAGTTTTTGTTAATTCTTGTGACTCTAATTCTTCTTTGTTTTCAAAGAAGTCTTCAGGGCTATCTCAACCGGAAACGTCATGATGTATGTAATCAAAGTGCATGCGCAATAGTGTAAGGGATAGCGGTTTGGAATGCGATGTCGGAGTGCCGGGTTCGATTTTTTGTCGAGTTCATTGCATTCATTTACGTTTGGGAAAGGTATAAAGAAACTATGGCTAAATAGCAGGACGGACTGATTTTGCAAGGCAACCAGTCTAGGAGAAGGAAATTCTGAATTCAAACAAGCCTGTAGAGGTTTAGGCTCCATCAGGATATCTAGCCCAAGACACACCCCTGATGCTATAGCTGCATGCATGTAAGGCCTCAACCCCACTAAGGGTTTACGAAACCCATGATTGTGATATAACGAAAATCTTTATTATTCTTTTTATCATTTGGCATTTTCCTTGGAAACGATTCTCATATCACATACAAATTGTATTTATTGATTCAGATTTGGAATCAAGTGACACCAAGTCACCTAAGAAATAGGGCAATTATTATTATTATTATTATTATTATTATTATTATTATTATTATATATTTCATTTGATTTTTCGGGGTGTGCTCATTTTATCCGTGTACCGACCGGAGACCTAAGGGCCGAAATGGTATCATGATATTTTCCACAGAGCAATTTAAAAAAAAAAAAATACACATATTTTATATAAATAAAGTCCTTCCTAAGGTGTGAGCTGTACTTATGAGAACATTTTTTTTTTTTTTTGTATTTCTTTAAGGCATGGGCTACCAGGAATCCTTTCAATGTTTTTCTTGGAAATCTTTTCCAACCAATCCGAGGGCTCCAACTACAACAGGAATTGTTGATGTTCCCATATGCCACTTTTTGAGATTACTATTTCAAGGTCCTTGTATTTTGATAGCTTTTTGAAGGGACTGCCATGTCGATAAAGAGGCATTTTTTTGTCTTTGCGGTCTCTAATCACGATGTCTGAGCGATTAGCTTTGTTTGTTCTGTCTGTGTATTGCCATTTTCTCTGGAAGCGATTTTCTCACACAATGTGTATTTATTGATTAGGAATCAAGTGACACCATGTCAACAAAGAAGTAGAGCAATTGTAATAATAATAATAATAATAATAATAATAATAATAATATTATTATTATTATTATTATTATTATTATTATTATTATTTCCTTTGATTTTGGGGGTGTACGCATTTCTTTCCGGGTCCCGACCAGAGATGTCATTATGACATTTTCCACTGAGCAATTTTGAAAAAAAAATTACACATATTTTACATAAATAAAGTCCTTCGTAATGTGTGAGCTGCATTCGTGAGAACAATGTTTTGTATTTCTTTAAGTCATGGTCTATCAATTAATCTATTAGAATCTTTTCCAAACAATCCGAGGGCTCCAACTACAAATAGAATTGTTAATGTCGTCATTTTTGCGATTTCGATTTCAATGTCCTTGAATTTTGATAGTTTATTTGTTTTTTTTTGGTTTTTTTTTGAAGATCTTCAAAGTTATATTGCAGACTACAGGGACTGCCATGTCGATAAGGAGGCACTTTTTGACTTTGAGGTCTTTCGTCACGATCTCTGAGTGATTAGCTTTGATTGTTCTGTCAGTGTGTATTCTAAAAACCCATAAAATTGTTAGAGGTCCTATCCCCGTTACCTGGTCTGGGTGGTATTCATAGCAATTTATTATTATTATTATTATTATTATTTACAGATTTTCTCTTTACAGAGAATTTACTTAAGATCGGAGGTTTTCCTTAAAAGGTTTTGAACATATATTTTTATTATTTCATCCCAAACAAAACAATAAAACCACTAAGACGTAAGGGGAGTACTGAGAGCGGAAGAATATGAATAGAATAACACTATTATTATTATTATTATTATTATTATTATTATTATTATTATTCAGTCATAAATTGTTCACACTAATGGTAGTGAAAGCTGAGAAATATGACCACAGGTCTGAGAGGACACTCGTGGCAAAAGAGATGTGGATCTGTTGAATGATGATGAACGTTCCAAGTTTTAAAGAAAATGGAAACGAAAAAGACTCTTATACTTAGAATCAGAAAAAAAAAACTTTAAACATTTCTGGGACGCATAATTGTATTGGGACACATGCTTCTTA